GAGGGAGACGCAGAATCCGAAGCAGGCTCCAGGCTCTGAACTGTCAGCACAGAGCCCGGTGTGGGGCTCAAACTCGTGAACTACGAGATCCTGACCTGAGCTGAAGTCAGACACTCAACCGACTGAGCCACCCATGTGCCCCTAACATAATATAGATTTTTATTGGTAATGTAACTCATGGAATAGCCAGAGTGTAATCTAGTCCTCTATGTTGTACATATTTTTTATTTTCAACCTTATGATCTTATAAATAACAGTGTGAATGAATATATTATCTTCCATTTTTGATAACTTCTGTAGCTTGTATTCTTAGACATGTAGTAGCACCAATTCCATATAAAACATGAAGTTAGTACCTGTGTTGACTCTTTCCTGTTTTAAATTTTGAGCTTCTTTGCATTTTAGTTTATAATACTGTATGTAATCAGTATGGCATTTTAGTTACAAATTTCCCTTCATGAAATTATAGAAAGTAAGGCTTGGTATTTAAAGGCATTTTGTGGAGAATTTTGAAAGTTTATTATATTCCAGGGGTTTTCTCACTCTTAATTAGTTTGGCCAACAGTAAATTATATAGTCATCCGATGGAATATTATTTAGCTACCAAGCCTGATGTTTACCGAGAAAGTTGAAGAAATACTCATAATATAAACTATATACACAGATATTATCATGTATGTGTAAAGCCAAAAATATACGTGATTATAAAAAAGAAACCCTAGGAAATATTCCATGATTTGGAATGGAGGTTGTTTCTGGGGAATGGAACTATTTTTTTTCTTTAAATTTGTTTATATTTTCTTTTTTTTTTTTTTTTTTTTTTTTTTTTTTTTTTAATTTTTTTTTTCAACGTATTTATTTATTTTTGGGACAGAGAGAGACAGAGCATGAGCGGGGGAGGGGCAGAGAGAGAGGGAGACACAGAATCGGAAACAGGCTCCAGGCTCCGAGCCATCAGCCCAGAGCCTGACGCGGGGCTCAAACTCAAGGACCGCGAGATCGCGACCTGGCTGAAGTCGGACGCTTAACCGACTGCGCCACCCAGGCGCCCCTAAATTTGTTTATATTTTCAAAAAATGTCGTATAAAATCTTCCTAAAGTTTGTTTATATCAAAATAATATATTTACAAATTTTAAAAAAGTTTTATAAGGCTTGAGATCAAAATCAGTCCCTTAACCAACCCCTTCTTACACATGATACCTCTCTGCAGGTAACCAGTTTCAACTCTTGGCAATTCTTCTGGTATTTACTTTCATATATCCACATTACAATCTAAGGTGGGAATTTACACACACACACACACACACACACACACACACACACACACACACACTTTTCCTCATTCATTTTCCCAACATATTGTTTTGTAATATTTGCCTAAATGAGTCTGGAAGTATTTGCTTTTTTGTGACTATGTAAATATTCCTACATAAACCACTTAAAAAACTGTGATTATTTTTCCCTTTTTAATGCACATATTTATTTTTGTTCAAGTAATTATTTCTTTTTTAACATTTGCTTAGTTTTCTATGAACTTGTCAACTAATTCATTTTCAAATTCTCAGCAATATAAATTCTTGTGTTCCAACACAGAATTTTTTTTAACACATCCTCACATCCTTCTTGGAGCAGTCTGTTTTCTTGATTCTGTTTTAGCTACTGCAGTATTTTGCATCTGTCTAACTTCTCTCCCTGTGTTCATTACACTATATTTATTATAATTGCTTATCACTCATTCCTACTACACTTAGTTCCTTGGACACTGTCCTTCATTTTGATGTACTTAGTGCTTGCTCATAACAGTACCGAACACAATAGGACTTTTGAGTTATATATACATGGATTTTCTACATTTACTCAGAATCTACAAATGCTTTGAATACATAATTTCCATATTTATCTTTAACGTGATTTCCATATTTATCTTTATTCCTATGAGACTATTTGATTTTCTAGCAATAAGATTCATCTTGCATGTATAAATCATCAGCCTGACTCCTTAGACATGTCTTTATTTTTTTCAGTAAGTGAGAAATGAATTCTTTGAACTTCTAATTGTTCAAAAAACTGCCTTAGGATTAAAAAGTCATTTCATAATATCTGTGAAGTGCTTATTACTAAAGCATTTATTCATGTTTTTATTTTCAGAGGACGATTGTTTATCATTTCCACCAAAGCAGGATCTCTTGGAATTAATCTGGTAGCTGCTAATAGAGTGATTATATTTGATGCTTCTTGGAATCCATCTTATGACATTCAGAGTATATTCAGAGTTTATCGCTTTGGACAAACTAAACCTGTGTATGTATATAGGTTCTTAGCTCAGGTAGGTTTGTAATTTATAGTTTCTTTTTCATAGTGAAAGGTTGGGTGAAACATAGTATTTTTGGAGTGCCAAACATATATGCATTATGAAGAGGCAAATGAACTTGAGAACATCAATCCTATACTATATATAATGCAGCAGAACTCAATTTTGGCCTCTCATGATTTTCTGTTTTGTAGTTCATCCATGTCTATAATGTCACCTTTCTCAGTTTGAGATGGATTTGCATGGGTAAACTGATTTAGAATTTTCTTGCTTGTTTAGGAAAGTTAAAAATTTATAGTTCTTTTACTTAGCATACATAGAAAAGCAAATAAGTAAATCTAATTTGCTTATAGATGTAAAGGTCAAATAATTATTGTTTTTAGTGGCCACCAGATACTCTCTTAATTTGAAAATATGGGTAAATAGGAAGAAAAAGTTAACTTACAATAATAATGAGTCATTACAAAGAATAATACTTTCTAGGAAAGAATATTAACATTATTTCCTTTATAAACTCAGATATTAAAAAACAGAAACTGAAATTTAAGAAAAATAAGTAAAATTAAAGAAGTACAAGGTAATACAGATTTATGGAATCAAGCAAGTTGCCTTTTAACTGGTACATCTGTTTTGGGAACAGATGCTGTTCTCTCCACCTGCCTCCAAATCTGGGCTTCTGAACCAGAGACTGGGTTTTATTGGTTGATTGATCCTTGCTCATTTGATCTTCTCTATTACATAATATTATTAATTGGCAGACTACACTATCACCCCTTTCCTATCCTTGAACTAAAAGCTCTTTTACATTCTAGTTTAAAATGCTATATATGTAATAGATGTGGCGTTTTAGTTATTAATTTTCTGTCCTGAAATTATGGAAAGTAAGACTTGATAGAAAGGCAGTGTGTAGTGATTGAGAGCTTATTATATTCCATTGAGAAGGAATTAAGCTACTCTCTTGTATTATTTTATAACCCTCTAAAATCTTATTTCATGTACTTCTTTACTTCTGTGTTCTGTTTACTGCACTTCTACTTCCACCAAGTACAGATATATATAAAGCAAAACATGAATGTGTATTGGTCAGATAATACAGAATGATTATCAATAATGTAGTTTTCTTTTTTGTCAAGGTAAACTACAGTGAACAGATGAAATCTCTCATGAATTAAGCATTATTGCTAATAAAACTTGCTTTGTGGCAGTATATTATTATGAAGTTTTGATCTTTTGTATTAACCAATAATTATATTTCTCCTTGATTAAGTTTCATGTGTACAGAAGTTGCTTATTTGTATATTGTTCCTTCTTTTTACAAGGGAACCATGGAAGATAAGATTTATGATCGTCAAGTAACTAAGCAGTCACTATCTTTTCGAGTTGTTGATCAGCAGCAGGTCGAGCGTCATTTTACCATGAATGAGCTTACTGAACTTTATACTTTTGAGCCAGACTTATTAGATGACCCTAATTCTGAAAAAAAGAAGAAGAGAGATACTCCTATGCTGCCAAAGGTAAACATCTTTAGATTATTAGCTTAAAAAAAAAAAAGCCCACCATGGACTAAAGGTATTTTACTACTACTATGAAAGTTAGTCATTTGAATAAGGCTAGATTTCAGAATTTTCCAAAGAGAATAAAATTGTATTTAAATGAGAGGGTGCTTGGTCAGTTCTCTACATAACACCACAAAAAGATCGTGTAATCTGAAATACATATTTAATGCCAAATAAAAAGTTCAGCTCTGTAAAAAAAAAAGTTACGGAGTAGAAACCTTAAAGGAAACAGTATGTTGCTCTTTTAATAATCTCCAGTAGAGGGCATACATAATTTTAGTATTTCTATATGAAATTTAATGGTCTTTTCTTTAACATTTATTGCTGTCATATAGCAGTTAAGAATCAGCAAATAAAGGTATATCTTACTTGATATTTTTCACTGTCATAAAGCAAGTAAGACTTTCACACTTGGAAAAGGATACTTAGAGGTAATCTTGCCAAGCCCTCTTATTTTATATAAGTGGAGAAAGCTAGGGTCAGAGATACTCAGTGACTTGCTCATAGTTTCCAGCTATTAAGTGGCAGAATCAGGAGTAGTATCTACATCTGTCTTCCGGTCCATTGTTCTTGGATTTAAAAAAAGACATTATTTAGATCAATATAGAAATGTATTATAATGGTAGATATCATTTTGACCCTTTTGAATGTAAGACAAAGCCATATGTTCTCTGATATAAAGTGATCTAAATATATTTAAACCTATTCTAGTTCATCTAAAAAGCTGTTTTAAGGGGTGTTGTTGGGGGGTTGCTTTTCCTGTTGTCTTGGTTTCAGATTCAAGCACTTAATGTTCCCTGTAGCTGTTAAGAGAATTGAGAAAGCAGCTACCAGGTTATGGTATCACTCTACCAAAGTCACTTTAGTCATTTGTGTATGTGTTACCTCATAAGTATCTTAGCTTTTCATACAGTTGGACACATTTAATGAAGGCAAAAGATAATAGTAATAAATAACTCTCTAATGCTAACATCAGTGATTTCTCCAGTTAACTTTTTTTTTTTTTAATTTTTTTTAATGTTTATTAATTTTTGAGAGAGAGAGTTTGAGCAGGGGAGGGCAGAGAGAGAGGGAGACACAGAATCAGAAACAGGCTCCAGGCTCTGAGCCATCAGCCCAGAGCCCGACGCAGGGCTCGAACTCACGGACCGCGAGATCGTGACCTGGCTGAAGTCAGACGCTTAACTGACTGCGCCACCCAGGCGCCCCATCCAGTTAACTTTTAATGTACATGTCAATTCTTAAGTAACATGAACATTAAGCATTTGTAAATTTTTTTAAAATGTCTTTTGTCTTTAAATACTTTGTTGTTCTAATCAGTGAACTACTCTTCCATTTAAAGTTCTCTGGTGGGGTGCCTGGGTGGCTCAGTTGGTTGAGCATCCAACTCTTGGTTTCGGCTCACGTTGTGATCTCACTGTTTGTGGGTTTGAGTCCCGCATCAGGTTCTGTGCTGACTGCATGGAGCCTGCTTGGGATCCTCTGTCCCTCTCTATCTGCCCCTTGCCCACTTTCTGGCACGCTCTCTCTCTCAAATAAATAAACTTTTAAAAAGTCACTGGTAGAACATTTATGAAAGAGTTTTTGTGACAGTGTCCATCAAGTCTCTTTGATAATGGCATAAGGCCACATGGGGGTTTGAATCTAACATTTTTTAAGTTAACATTTAAAATACTTCATTAAAGAGTATTATTTCATTTTCATGTTATGAAATATTAAATTGATAGTGATTTGGCTTTCTAAATTATGTTATTATAGAACATCAGTAGAATTCCTAAATAGTCTTTGGAAAATTTTATGCACTCATATTTTTTTGTATATCTTTTTTTTTTTTTTTTAATTTTTTTTTTTCAACGTTTA